ATATAATAATAATAATAATAAAAACTTCGATTATTTCTTCAAAAATCTTGTGATCTCGTGATTCTATTAGCAGATTGAAATTTAAAAAGCGATTACGTAACTGATTTTGGTGACGATAGTAGGCGCTTTGAGGCATGGATATAAGCGGAAATGAAATTTCCGCTTAAACACATAGAACCAGTGTAAAACTGATTTATACCCTGCGATCTTGATAGTGACCAGGGTATAATAGCTAATAATATAATATTTTTCAAATCTGATAATCTTTTATAATCGGTACCGGTTTTAATAGGGTAAACTGTATTAAGATGCACAAGGATTTATGATTTATTATTATGAAGATGCGCTAATTTGCACAAAATATAAATTTTAAATCGGATTATAGGTCTTGCAAATCCTCTCTGGCCTATTTCTTTTATATATAAAATTCACTGTAAAAATTCTAATCTTATTTTATTGAAATCTTCTTTAAATTATCATCAATACCACCTTCGTATGATCCTTTCATCTGTAACTAAAAATTATTAAATTTTCTAGCTTGTAATTAATTTTCCTTTAATAACATTTAAATGCATGTATCGTTTAAAATTGTAAATATACAAAGAAACAATATAAAATTGTATTGTTACTTTTGATACCGAAAATTGGCTTTATTTAAGTCTCTTGTAGCTTGTAGTTCCAATTTACATCAGTATCAATATCCAAAAAAAAGTTCATTCCAAAGTTTCTCAAAACCAATATATTTTTGAAAATAAATAAACGTTTACAATTTCAATTCAAATTTCACATAAATAACTGTTAAAATTAAAATATTACAGTAAAACAAATCATTTTTGTACATTTTGATAAAAAAAAGTTTTAATTCCTATTTAAATTTGATAACAATATCCAAGACTACTTATTTCAACAGTGCCAAATTAGCACATTTTTGATAATAAATAAATGCTTTATATTCATCCTTTTCAACACCAATTCCGTAATTATAACAATGACCAACTTGATATATACCATCAGCATTATCCATATTAGCAGATCTTTGGTAATGAGCAAATGCCTTATGTGCATCCTTTTCAACTCCGATTCCAAACTGATAACAATAACCAACTTGATATAAACCATCAGAATTATTCGTATTAGCGCATTTTTGATAACAAATAAATGCTTTATATTCATCCCTTTCAGCTCCAATTCCATGTTCGTAACAATATCCAAGACTATATAATCCACTAAAATTATTCATATCGGCAGATTGTTGATAATAAATGAATGCCTTATGTACATCCTTTTTAACACCAATTCCTTTTTCGTAACAGTATCCAAGATTATACATTCCATTCGAGTTCCCCATATCAGCAGATTTTTGATAATAAACGAATGCTTTATGTTCATCCTTTACAATCCCAATACCTTTTCGATAACAAAGTCCGAGTCTGTTTACTCCGCTAGAATTACCCATATCAGCAGATTTTTGATAATAAATGAATGCCTTACATTCATCCTTTTTAACTCCAATCCCTTTTCGATAACAATGTCCAAGCCTGTTTATTCCATAAGCATTACCCATTTTAGCAGATTTTTGATAATAAATAAACGCCTTGTATTCATCCTGTCCAATTCCAATTCCTTTTTGATAACAACCTCCAAGATTGTACATCCCAATAGAATTACCCATATCAGCAGATTTTTGGTAATAAATAAATGCCTTATGTTTATCCTTTGCAGTTCCAATTCCTTTTTCGTAACAATTTCCAAGTAAGTTCATTCCACTGGAATTACCCAAATTAGCAGATTTTTGATAATAAGTGAATGCTTTATGTTCATCCTTTTCAACTCCAATTCCTTCATCGTAGCAATATCCAAGATTATACATCCCACTAGCATTGCCCATATCAGCAGACTTTTGATAATAAATAAATGCATTATGTTCAGTCTTTTCAACTCCAATTCCTTTTTCGTAACAATATCCGAGATTATTCATTCCTATAGGATTACCCATTTTGACTAGTTGTTGATAATAAATTAATGTCTTATTGTTATCTTTTTCAACTCCAATTCCATCTAGATAACAATGACCAAGAGAATCGATTCCATATGGATTTTCCATATCTGCAGATTTTTGATAATAAATGAACGCTTTATGATCATCTTTTTCAACTCCGATTCCATGTTCATAACAAAAACCAAGATTATACATTCCAATAGAATTTCCCATATCGGCTGATTTTTGTGAATGAATAAATGCATTATTATTATCATTTTTAATCCATTTTCCATAATGATAACAATATGCAAGAATATTTTGAATTGTAGAATTAGATTGAATTATAGAATTTGTTTGATTATTCAAACATAAATTGATTATTTCTTCAGGTTTTTGTTGCTTATTCGTCATATATCGTTCTATTGAACAAATAATTGAACCACCAAAATTTCCTTTCATAACTTCTTTATCATGAAGATCACTTAAATCTTCGATAACACCATTTAAAAAACCTTGTGAATCGTACAAAGATAAATTTATTCGTTTTGAAGGATTTTCAGCTTGAATTTTATCATTATGAATAGCGTCTTTTATTAGCATTTCTGTAGATGGATTATTGTAAATGCCTGGTAAGCTTTTCTTATTTGAAATGATGGAATCAAATCTTAAGGTACATACGTGCGTACGATGTATTAAAACAATAGAAGGTATGATTCGCAGTAGATTCTGAAATTATTACTGTTATATTTTGTACTATGATACACAAAAAGGGGACAATTTCTATTGGAGAATCTTATGTTGATCAATTTTAAATTTTACATTAACGTGGCTCAATGATTATACTCGTCTCGAGCATCATCGATTGTCAAAATTTTTATAGTAAATAAGGTAATGATGAACCTAAAATGATTGTTGATACATCAGACTATTACCCATATTTTGCTAGTATGCTGTTACAATAGCTTAGACGGTATTAGTGCAATCTATAAGGTAATAATAATAATGATAATAATGATAATAATAAGCGAATTTCGAATATATAACTCTAACTGCTAAGCAACAATATTTATATTTTCATTATTAACTTTATGCATAGTAAAATACATGTTTTTACACAAATAATACAGCAAGTTCCGTAACCACATTAATTTGTAATAAATTCGAAGTTAGCTATACTACTACTAAAATAATGATAAAGTTTATCACATTTCAGCTAACTTTTTATGATAAATAAAAGTCTTGTATTCATCCTTTTCAACTCCAATTCCATAAATATAACAACAACCAACATTCTTTATTGCATTAGTATGACCCACGTCTGCAGATTTTTGATAATAAGTGAATGCTTTACGTTCATCCTTTTCAACACCAATCCCTTGAATAACAATATCCAGCCTGATACGTTCCTTCAGAATTTACCATATCTTCAGATTTTTGGTAATAAATGAATGCCTTACGTCTATCTTTTTCAGTTCCAATTCCTTTTTGCCAAGATAGTACATCCCAATAGTATTACCCATTCGGCAATGCCCTACACTCGTCTTTTTCAATTCCAATTCCTTTTTGTAGCACATTCCAGATTACATATTCTAATACAATTACCCAAATCAGCAGATTTTTGATAATAGGTGAATGCTTTCTGTTCATCTTTTTCAACTCCAATTCCTTTGTCGTAACAATGTCTGAGATTATTCATTCCTAAAACATTGCCTATTTTGATTAATTTTTGATAATAAATTAATGCCTTATTGTCAATTCCATCTCGATGATCGGCTGATTTTTAATAACAAATTAGTGCCGTCAATGGAAAACCTGTCATCGGACTTTCAATTATATTTTGTGTACAGTTAGCCGTCTATGGAAATCTATTATGATGATAGATTTTCCATAGACGGCTAACTGCACACAAAATATTATTAAAGTCCGATGACAGAATTTCCCTTGGCGGCACTCAAATGAATGCTTTATGTTCATCCTTTTCAACTCCGATTCCACGTCGATAACTTTCCATATCTGCTGATTTTGTAAACGAATAATTACATCATAACTATCCCATTTTCCATAATAATAGCAATGTGCAAGAATATTTTGAATTATAGAATTATATGATTTGTTTGATTTGTCGAGCATAAGTTGATTATTTCTTCTGGCTTTTGCTGCTTATTCGTCATATACTGTTTGTTCTATTGATCAAATAATTGAAACACCATAATTTCCTTTCATAACTTCTTTATTATGCAGGTCACATAAACTCTTCGATAATATTATTGTGAATCATACAATGATAAATATACTCGTTTTGAAGTATTATCAACTTTATCTTTATTATTTTGAGTAATATCTTTTATTGACAATTCTGTAGATAGATTATTATAAGTACCTGACAAGCTTTTTTCACTTGACATGACGGGATTAAATAGAAAAGTATTTTTTTGCATTATTTCTGTTATCAAATACTTTATTTTGGGAATCTTACGTCGTCATTTTTAAATTCCACACTCGCTATGGATTATTGTTTCATTTCATAACGCAGCTCGGTGCTTCATCTCGAGCATGAATTGACATCCTTTAAATATATACCGTATAGCGCTCTTTAAAGTACCCGGCGTGACACGATTTTTTACAGTGAAAAATTAACAATCACGTGTATAACACAATTGTTTATATCACATGTCATATATAAATAATATTTTATAAAATTGATCTACATTATTTGTCACGCAGGGTACTTTAAAGAGCGCTATACGGTATATATTTTTCGGTCTGTAAAAAAACTTTTTATAATTTTACTATAAAGTAATCTTTACAAAGACTCTGAAATTTAAAAATTTTGTGATGAGATGGTTATGATTCACGCAACTTTATCATAAAAATTGGTTTCTTACAGTAATATTGTATAGTATTGTGCCGATTTGATATTGATAACGTTGCAACCCATTGCCAGAAAATCACAGAGCTATTATAACAATATTACTGTTATATTACCGTCATATTTTTGAGATTTTATAATAATATAATTATGTTTCACGCAACTGAATTATTGCAATATCGTAGTGATCATGTAGCAATTTGATATTAACAATAACGTTACAACCATGCAATTTTATTTTTAAATTTGAGAGGTTTCTGTAAAGTTGATAATAATACCTGACGTGATCTATGACGAAACCCATGATAAAATAGATGAAGCATTAGATTATTTTTCTAAATGTGCTTATTTATATCCTGTTACAATGCAAGAAGATACCAATTTAGATGGTATTAGCGTAACCGATAAAATAATAATAATAATAATAATAATAATAAGCAGATTTTGAATATATAACTCTAGCTACTAAGTAACAAGTTTTGTTTTTAAGAAATATTTTTCATTGCTAATTTTATGCATAGTAAAAAATTGCATGATGTATTTTGCAAAATACAGCAAGTTCCGTAATCACATCAATGAATTCGAAGTTAGCTAAACAAGTTGATAATGATAAAATTAGTCAACATTTTATCACATTTCAGCTAATTTTTTGTGATAAATAAAAGCCTTATATTCATCTTTTTCAACTCCAGTTCCATGAAGATAACAATAACCAACATTCTTCATTGCATTAGCATACCCCATGTTTGCAGATATTTGATAATAAATGAATGACTTATGTAAATCTTTTCCTACCCCACTTCCTTTACCATAACAATATCCAACCATATATGTTCCATAAACATCACCCATATCTGCAGATTTTTGATAATGAACGAATGCCTTATTTTTATCCTTTTCAACTCCAATTCCTTTTCGATAGCAACGTCCAAGATTGTACATTCCACTAGAATTACCCATATCGGCGGATTTTTGATAATAAATAAATGCCTTATTTCCATCCTTTTCATCTCCAATTCCATATTCGTAACAAAGTCCAAGTCTGTTTACTCCACTAGAATTGCCCATATCAGCAGATTTTTGATAATAGAGAAATGCTTTATGCTCATCCTTTTCAACTCCGATCCCTTTTCGATAACAATGTCCAATCTTGTTTATTCCACTAGCATTACCCATACCTGCAGATTTCTGATAATAAATGAACGCCTTTCGTTCGTCTTTTTTAACTCCAATCCCTTTTTCGTAACAATCTCCAAGATTGCACATTCCACTAGAATTACCCATATCTGCGGATTTTTGATAATAAATGAATGCTTTATATTTATTCTTTTCAACTCCAATTCCTTTTTCGTAATAAAATCCAAGTCTGTTCATTCCGCTAGGGTTACCAATATGAGCAGATTTTTGATAATAAATGAGTGCCTTACGTTCATCCTTTTCAACACCAATTCCTTCGTCATAACAATATCCAAGATTGTATATTCCATTAGTGTTGCCCATATTAGCAGATTTTTGATAATAAATGAATGCTTTATGTTCATCCTTTTCAACACCAATTCCATTTTGATAACAGTAACCAACTTGACTCATTCCATCAGCATTACCCACATCAGCAGATTTTTGATAATAAGTGAATGCTTTATGTTCATCTTTTTCAACACTAATTCCTTGGTCGTAGCAACATCCAAGGTTGTATATTCCACTAACATTGCCCATATCAGCAGATTTTTGATAATAAGTGAATGCTTTATGTTCATCCTTTTCAACCCCAATTCCTTTTTCGTAACAATATCCAAGACTATTCATTCCTAAAGCATTGCCTATTTTGACTAATTTTTGATAATAAATTAATCCCTTATTGTTATCTTTTTCAACACCAATACCATCTCGATAACAATCACCAAGAGAATCTATTCCATATGGATCTTCCATATCTGCAGATTTTTGATAATAAATGAATGCTTTATGATCGTCTTTTTCAACTCCGATTCCACGTCCATAACAAAAACCAAGATTATACATTCCAATAGAACTTCCCGTATCTGCTGATTTTTGTGAATGAATAAATACTTTATTATTATCATTTTTAATCCATTTTCCATAATAATAACAATATGCAAGAATATTTTGAATTATAGAGTTAGAAAGAATTATAGGATTTGTTTGGTTTTTCAAAAATAAGTTGATTATTTCTTCTGGTTTTTGCTGCCTATTCTTCATATATTGTTCTATTGAGTAAATAATTGAAACACCATAATTTCCTTTCAAAACTTCTTTATTATGCAAGTCACATAATTCTTTAATAACTCTATTTAGTAAATCCTGTGAATCATGCAATAATAAATCTTCCCGTTTTGAAGTATTATCAACTTTATCTTTATCATTTTGAGTAATATCTTTTATTGAAAATTCTGTAGATAGATTATTATAAGTATCTGACAAGCATTTTTCATTTGACATGACGAGATTAAATTTTAAGGAATGTGCGATGTAATGAAGCAATAAATAGTATGATTCACAGCAAATTACATGTATTAGTGTTATACAAATATTATTGTACTATGATACACAAGTAAAAAAGGAGTACTTTCTATTGGAGAATCTTACGCAGGGATGGGCAAAATACGGATTTTTTTGAATTTACTGCGCAGCTTGAACGTCCTAACATACCCTAGCTGTAGCATTAATTTTGTCATGCCAGTATTATGCTAACTGACCTGATTTATGCTAGCTAGCCTGAATTAGTAATGGTTATACACTGGGTGTCATGAATATAAGCGGAAACGAACTCAGAATATGTAATAGTTATTTCCTGGGCAGTTGGGTATAAGCGGGGCTGAAAGTCCCGCTTATCACATAGTGCCCAGGACATAACTGATTTATGCCCTGCGATCTTGATATAGTGACCAGGGTATAAAACTGATTTATACCCTGTATTCTTGATATAGTGACCAGGGTATAATAAAAATCATACTGCGCAGTTTCTCAAAAATTCTGCTAGTGATTATTGTTAAATTTCACCCATATCATATTTTTCAATCAGTAAAAAATTTTTTATAGTAAATACAATATAAGGTAATGATGTCTGACGAATGACGAAACCTATAACGAGTGACGAAACCTATGGACTTATGACGAATGAACGAAGTATAGACTATTACCGAATAATATCCCAGGGACATTACAAATATGTTTATTGTCACGTTGGTTCTCAGTTATAGGGGTCTTGGGTCTATTCCACCAAGAAAATCAACTCGCTTGACGGTATCGTTTAGATCTTATCTACCTTATAATGAAGCGACCATAAGGCAATGAACTCTTTTTATCGTTAAGAACGTTTATTCACTCTATAAAAAAAAAAAAATCATATTCAGATTTTGCCCGGATTATTATTTTTAAAAATGTGCATTTATCGTAATTAGAACCCATATAAACCCTCTTAAATTCCTGAATATTTCCGATTTCCTGGTTACATCGAAAATCAATTCACAGACCTTATTTTCCCGACATTTGATTCCGAAAAAAATTATAACTATGAAATCGGAAATATTCAGGAAATTTAGATTTATATTACGAAAAATGATAATAATAATCTGAACAAAACCTGAATATGATTTTTGATTTTTTTTTTTATAGGGACTAAGCAAATTTGATCCAACTTTCGCTTGGATCGTTAATCCTTTTACGTATTAGAAGATAATAAATTGGGTATACTATTACCCGGTTACACGTATACAAATAGACTAAATTCATGCACGCCATTTATGTACCGGTAATGATCCGGTAACCCGTGATTGCACCTCTACAGATACTGGGGATGATGTCATTGCCATGACACTTAAGTTTTGTACAATACAAGATCAGGTGTAGAACTGTTCGAAAAGTGTGCAGGGATACTAAACTAAGGGGAGTAAGAGAATATTGTAACTAAAGATTGTATTGTCAATACTAAAGTTAACATCGTACAATACACAGTGTTGGAAATCTTATATCTCATTTTCTCATGAGAACATTTCTTTTAATTTGAGAACATTTATCAACTTAAAATGTTCTATAAAATTTTTTGAAAAGTTTGAAAATTATGTTCTCTATATAAATATGTATTATGATTAATAAAAATTTTGTTACAAAGTAATAAAAAGTAAATTTTATTAAATAAGTTTTTATTGTAAATATATGAAATCAAAAAAAAAAAGAAATCGATGATTTCTGGATTTTTTTAGACTTTTAGATTAGACTTTAATATACATAGGATTTATAAAATATGTAATAATAAACTCAAATCTAATAACTTATTAATAGTTATTAAAATTATGTACATTAAAGTCTAATCTTAAAGTCTAATCTAAAAGTCTAAAAAAGGGTTAAAAAATCGGAAGTCAAGACCAGAAATCTTTTTTTTTTTTGATCATCAAATTTCACATATTTTGCAAACCGCAGTAAATTATCAAAGTTTATAAACTGTTAAATATTTCTAATTTTATTCCTAGGTTCGAATTTGGTCCGGTTCGGGTTTGATCAAACCCGGGATTCAAACTATGAATTTTTGAAATTGTCAAACCCAGACCCAAACCTGAACACAAAGTTGACAAAACCAAACCATACTCAAATATGAATATGAGTTCGGTTTGGGTTCAGTCATTAGTTTGCAAACAGGTCCGAGCCCGAGATAAGTACATAATAATTAGGGCTACTACCATGCCATGCCTTGTGCTTATCATATCACCACTAGAGTTCCAGTTAGGGATGGGTACAGTTATAGTTATACCAGTTATTAGCCGTAATACGTAGTAACCATTGCTGACGGTTTAACTTACCGGCTAAATAACAACCGATGCCGGATTTTTTAAAAAAATTTCAAGAACAGTGAATCCAATGATACTCGTGATTATCACATCACCTGGTTAACACTCGGCTTATGTTTAGGCAAATTTGTTAGTGTTGGTAAACAAATGACGTAATTGCACGATTTCACGTGAAGTAATGATTTTCAAAACAGTCTAAATCTGGTCAAACTTGCAGATCATTTGGCCTATTTATGAGTTTAAAACTCATTTCTAATAGGCCAAATGATCTGCGAAACTGGCCAGAATTGGATTATTTTGAAAAAGCCTACTTATAATTAAAGTTATCCCTTAAACCGTCCAGCGGGCAAATTTGCCCGCTAAACTTTTTTTTTTCAATTTTGTGAGATTGCGCCCGATTTTCTTAAACAACACCCCTATTCTAGGCAAAAATAGAAGGTCTTCATGTTACACATTGGCCCGTGATTTAATATCAGGTGATCAGAAGTAACGATTAACGATCAAATCACGTGCAAGTAGTACAATGGTAAACTTTAAAAAAATGATGATCGTTATCAAACTCTAGAATAATATTTATTACAATATGTCTAACACTAGTACAAGTTTGGAATCTTCTCTTGAAAATACAGAAATAAATAGTGATAACAAGGAAGAATATATACCACTTCTGATGCCTGCTGCAGTTTTTTGAACCCAGAATTAGACAATGAGGATGAAGAAGAGGAAGAGAATACTAAAGGTGTTCATAAGAGAGGTTGCAAAAAAAAAATTGCTGTTACCATCTACAAATTTAGCTCATCAAAAGCAACAGCACCATGGGTTTATTAATTTGCCCCCACACCATGAAGTCGGTTTTTCAAAACTGATCAATTTTTTTATTTTTTTTTCAACAATTTGTTTGATCAAATAGTCATTAATACAAACTCATATGTATTAATTAAAGGAGCTGGTATTCTTACTGGCAGGCAATGAACAAATATTGACTGTAAAGAGTTTATTGTTTGAATGGCAATTGTCATTTATTAGGCATTTTTAAGCTGCTTTCCCTTAATCAATATTTGAATGAAGACCTGAAGCTTCACTTTCACTATATTTCGAAACAAATATCACTGAAGTGTTTCGAACAAATCAAGAGATATTTGCATATCTTCCCTTTTGCAGTAGTGATCAAAAATTATTTCAAAGAAGTAGAACCACTGCTTTCACATGTTCAAAATGTTTTAAAGCAGCTCTACACACCAGGTTCAAATGTCTTGATTGACAAGATGATATTAAGATTTTCAGAAAAAAACACCCATACTATCAGAATCAAGAACAAACCAACCCCAGAGAGTTACAAGGTTTTATTGCTTTGTGAATCTGAATATATATATACTTTCTTGCCAACTTTGTATATTTCTTTAAGTGATGTAGCAAAAGTGAGTGGGCTTAGTCAAATTGAATATCAGCTAGTTGGCTATAGTACTAAGTTCGATTCCCACTAGCAATAATTTAAATAATTTACTTGTATTATACTGTAGTAATGGCATATTCTAAATTGGGCTGGGTTTTATATCTGTAAACTGGGGCATACCAACACCTCATGTATACTAAGAAACATGGATGCATTTGTGTCATTGCACAAAGGAATGCAAACTGGTATAGGCAGTGCAAACTCATAATAAGGCATCCAGAATTACTATACACAGTAGTTTAAGAAAACTGAAACTAGCTTGGCAAATTCTAATTAAGGAAGCAGCAGATTGATCTAACCAAATGCTATCTAATATTAAAGAACAAACCTGACTAGACTCTAAAAATTAAAGAAGTTGTGTGACAAAGATCTTTCAGACAAAAGAAATCTATCAACCAGACCACCAGATCATTTTGACATGTTATGAAATTGTAAACCAAGGATCAGGAGACTTTCAGACTTAAGCCTGAAAAACTTAGGTCTGGGCAAACCATTTCTTTTAGGCTATCTGGATTGGAAGTATAACAATACCAAAAAGAGTAAGATGTGGAAAGTGATAGAATGTAGTACAGAGATTTGTAAACCTTAAAAGTGTAAAAGTAGGTAATAGTAGAGGTTTAATAGTTAGCTCTAATCTCAAGTGCATAGGTTAAGCTATAGCGTAAGTTACTGAAGTCTAAGTATAATACTCTAAGTAGTCGAGACCACTTTGGCAGGTTTACTTTAAAAATAAATAAGAACTATCAGTTCTGTCCTAAGTTTGGTTATTAATCTAATGGTATTACATAGATTCATATGCTTGGTATATATGGTAAAGTTACACCCAAGTCATAAGTCTGACCTGGTGAAAGTAAGAATATGATTAGAGGGTTTAAATAGGTATCCTACTAGTGGAGGTACAGGTACAGCAAATAGTGTAAAACTCTTAGTATAGCATTACTGCTTTGGGCAGACTACTTAAATAAGGCACTAAAAGTGCATATGTGACTTGATATACTTTTATTGTAACCGAAATAACACTTATAATAATAAATCACTGTTAACAAAAAGGTCATCTTAATATCAAAAAAAAAATTTAATAGTACAATATATTTTTATATATATATAGATATTTATACAGTGCAGAACAGCAAGAGACATATAATCTATACATATAAACACCAATTTTTGGTGCTTATATAATTAATTATGATTGGCTAATTTTTGAGCAATTGATTTTGATTAGTTAAAACTTATTTTTTTTATATTAAATACTATTTTTTTGAACTCATATAAACTTTAATTAATAATCCATTTTCGAATGAGACAATCATATATACCCATATATAGTAAATTGTGATGCATTTTACTATAAGTTTTACTATAGCCAAAAATGCCATTTTATGTAAACAATAGTCTGTTTATATTAGTTGGAAAATTATTTTTTGCAATATCTTGGCATCTAATAATTAGATTTTAATGATCTTACTATTATTAGAATCAAAAAATAATGCTCTACAAGTTTACTTAAAAATTGAAAATATATTTACTTAGTAGAAAAATAACTTTACTTTGTCATAAAGTGGCATTTGTGGCTTAGTAATTTTATATAGTAAATCATATAAATTTGCGCATCACAATTTACTATGTGTAGTTGTCTCATTCGGAAACAGATTATCAATTAATCTTTTATAACATTTTTAAAACAAAGAATAAAAAAAATTCTCTACCAGAATTGTAATTTATCTAAAAATCTTTTAATTTGTCAAAGGGTTTTTGATTTAGCTTGTTTTAAAAAAGTTATACTACTTTAAAGTTTTATTAATAGATATTGAATGTCTCTTGCTGTCCTGCACTATATATCACATTTGAATTCAATTAAGCAATACCATAATATTACTTATCATATCTACTCATTAGTAATTTGTTATTTATTATTACTTCAAGATTATTAATATTTGGTTATTATTTAATAAATTCGTCACTATTATATAGCATATTATTATTTAATAAATAAAGAAATTTTTTTATTCTACATGCTTTTATTATCTATATTTTCTTAGCTATAAACAAAAACAAAACCAAAACTTCAGATAATAACACATCTAATCTTAATATATTACAATGGCCTAAAAGATAAAATTAAAAAAAGTTGGTATTATATTTAATGTTGCCTCTTTTTTTTTTTGTTATATCTTTCTATTTGTCTACACACTATATACACAGTGTTAAATAACTAGAAGATTAAGTTTTCAGCAAGGTAGTTGAATTACAAATATTAAATAATATTAAGAAATTGATTATTAAGGCAAAATGAGAGACAACAAAGTATTTTATATATTATCTATTATTACAAACATATTAAAATATATTTATTAACTTTATTTAAGAATCAAAACAAAATGGTATAAGGAATTTTAGTAAATGTTTTTATATACATATTGTGTCTTAGACTAACACTTGTATTAGATTGCATCTGAGGTGCCTCTAGAGTTAATACCTCAATCCGGATATATTTTTTATATCTGGATTAATCTGGTTTTATTATAATATAAATCTAGATTTATTTATATCCGGATATAAAAACATTATGTCATGTTATATTACATGACATAGTATATATCCGGATATATAAATTCGGATAGAGATATTAACTCTAGGCGCCTCAGATATAGATTGTCAGGTAAGGTGTATAATCTATCGATTGGTCATCTGAGGTGTCTCAGATGTAATCTGGCACATAACTAATTAATTAATAATTAATGTTTAGCACTATATACAGTACCCAGCATGACAAATAATGTGGATCAATTTTTTAAAATATTATTTATATGTACCAAGTGATATAAACAATTAAGTTATGCATGTAATTTATAATGTAAAAAACTGTGTTACACTGGGTACTGTATACAGTACTAAACAGTAATATGCAATATATATCAAATAAAGCAACTAAATATTTATTTATTTAATATCTGCAAATTAAAGCTATTTTATTAATATGTAAAGCAATTAAACATTTATTTACTAGCATCTGCAAATTAAAAGCTTTTTTTTTTACTTTATGTATTTTTTACTAATCTTTGTTTAAACAAGAATAACCACTATAGCATCTGCTTAAACACCTCCTATTTACTTTTTTACAGTTACACTTTTTAGTATTATATAAGCCTTTGTAGTTACAAATTGAACTTGACAACAATCCAACACTTTGCAGTCTTGATGCCTCTCGAAGAGATATTTGTTCAGATGGTATTACATTGAGTTTAGAACAAGTAGCAGTACCCAGTACTTCAATTTGACCAGACAAATAATGTACACTGAGTATACTATATTTGCTTCCTAGTTTGTATTGTTGTTTTTTTGTTTTTTCTAGAATTTTACAAGGAAGGCTAGGGCAGTCAATTGCAAACCAATCAATTTTTGGAATATTTACTCAAATGAAATCACCAACTTTAAAATTAATTAATTTTTGTTTTTTAATATTTGGTTGGTTATTTTGTTAATATATAGTTGAAGTTCATGGTAAGCAGAATCTTGTAAAATTTCATATAGCAAACTATAACTCTGGTTTGTAATATCAGCAAGAGCAGAATTTGGATGCAGCACCTATATTATTAGTTAGCATAAATAGACATTAGCTATTATTCTAAAAGCTTTATATTATAACTGTTATAAGAATAGAATTATAATATGTTCAAAATCAGCTTAAAATAAAACAAAATAATTATACTAAAAATCCTAACTCTAACTTTAAAAATTCAAAATTAACTTAAATTTTTGTTCCTACTTAATAAACTTACATAATTACATTGAGATAACAGTTCTTGAGATAATGGTTCCCAATATATTGGTTCTTGAGATAATAGTTCCAGAAACATTAGTTCTTAAGGCAATAATTTCTAAAATAATAGTTTCTGAGGTGATAGTTTCCGAAACATTGGTTCTCGAGGTGATAGCTCCTGTGATGATGGTCCCTAAGGCAATAATTTCCAAAGCAATGGTTGCCAAAACAATAGTTCTTTAAATGATAGTTTCTGAGAAGATCGTTCTTAAGACAATTGTTCTCTAGATAACAGTTCTTGTAATAATGGTTTTTGCAATAATAATTTTTGCGATAATAATTCTTGCAATGATAGTTCTTGTAGTAATAATTCTGGTTCTGATTCTAAACCTTGATCTAATATATAGTAAATTAAATAAATATATAAAATAAATAAACTAAAAATAAATAATAAAAATAATAATAAAATACTATCCATATCATCATCTAAGTTTATTATATTATTAGTTTGAATATCATTTGTATTAGAAATCTCTTCTTTATTGCAAATATTATTATTACATAGTTTACTAACTAATGTGTTGTTGTCTTGAGGTTTATCTCTATACACAAGTTCATAAGGTGTTCTTTTATATGCTTGATACCACAAATTGTTCATAGCCATGATAACAAACCTTAAACCAAAAGACCAGTCATTTCACCTAGTAGATTCTTTTTATTTTCTTAATTTTTGTTCCAGAACTCTATTTGTATGTTCGACCAACCCTTGAAACTGAGGGTAGCAGGGTCTACTATTGATAACTTTAACAGAAGGCTATAGAACCATAAGTTCTTTAATTACTTGCAACATGAACTCCTTGCTATTGTCTGACTGTAATATAATTAGTGGTGATCTGATTGAATAAAACAGATCAAATAAAAAAAACACAACTTCGATCACTCTTTTGAGGTTAATGCTTTCACCCAGGAAAATCTGATAAAGTGATCTCTAATATAACACATATACTTATATTTATTGTCTAGGTCAAAACTAAAATTAATTAAATCTATCTAAAAAAAAAAGAATTAAAAAGTTGATTTTTTTTAAAAAAAAAAAAAGAGAGAAAAGTTATCTGAACTCTTGATAAAAATTTTTTTGCAATTATGGGTTTTGCAGCTAGAGAGTGAAATAATAGTCTTCTAATTGTGAATATTGTACAATTATTCACAAACTGTTTAATAATACTCTGTTTAATCTATCTCTATTTATTTCATATAGATATCTATGTTAGTTTTTGTCTACTATGCTGTATGATTTTGCTGTGAGTATGACATAAGACTTCATAAAACCTCTCAGTAATTAAAACTGGGTTATTTGTAGATTTTACAATGACTCTATAGTTATTAGATGAAATCTCTTCAAGTCTAAACTTTTTTTTAGCCCAATCACAGGTGTTTTTGTTGTAAAAAAAATTGTCTTTGGAGTTTAGAAGAATTGTCTTTATTTTATTATAAAGTTCAAGATTTATTAAAGCCTTATTCTATTTGGATTCAGGAAAATTAGCTATATAGTTTTCAAGGATTTGATCAAGAATACTTTTGCTGATAAATTTATATTCTATTTTAATATTAAAAAAATTCAGGAAGGATGTGCTGCAAAGCTCCAGATAAGAAAAAAAAGTACTAGGAAGAAGGTGCTATGATGACTCATGTAAAAAAAAAAATAATACTATTGAAGGCAAATAGAGTGCTACATTGACTCACGTAAAAAAATAAAATCTATTGAAAACAAATAAGGTGCCTGAAACTAATATAGAAATTTAGACAAAAAATTAAAGACGACAAGAGTAATTGTCACAAAGCTTCAAGAAAAAAAAATTATTGGAAGTAGTAAAATACTACAAAGATTCAAAGTGGAAAAAGCACTGAAAAAAAGAATGCTACAAATGCCAAAAGGTGCCAGAGAAACTCTGGAGTGCTGCTAAAGCTAAGAAGGTGCTGTGGAGATTTAGGAATACTATTAAGGTGCTGAAAAGATTCAAGAATACTACAAGAGCTAAGGTAGTGATGAGATTCAGAAATGCTACTAGAGATAAAAGAATTATAGCAGAGGTAAAAAAACTTTAAAGAGATTCAAGGAACCAAAAAAATCTTCAAAGTAAAAAGGCAGGTTATTTTTTACTTTTTGCTTTTTTTTGATTCTTTAATTTATTACATATTTATCGCTATTACAATTATCATGAGTCAGATTATATTTAAGGCACCTCAGATGACTGATTAAAAGGTTATATACCTCACCTGATAATCTATATCTGAGGTGCCTCAGATGTAATCTAATACAAGCATTTGTCTGAGGCACAATATATATATTAAATAATTATTCCAAATATACTATTAATAGATACTAAAGCTAATATAAGCAGTTTAAGTAGTTCAACTAGTGCACAAAAAAAATTAAAAACTTCTGATAATACTAGTCAAACAAAATTTAATTTATGAGCCCAAAGGTTTTGAAGCAATCTAAACAATCAATATCTAAACCTCTAAAAGCTTTGGAACAATTCAAGCAAACTGTCTCTGGTTCTTCAAAAGCTTTAGAACAATTCAAGCAATTTGTTTTTAGTTCTTCAAAAGTTTTAGAACAATTCAAGAAATTAATTTCTAGTCCTTCAAAATTTTCAGAACAATCCAAATGACTGAATTTCAAACCTCCAAAACCTTTGGAACAATTTAAATAACTAGCTCCAGACAACCTGTTTCACCTATTTTACCAAAAGTTAAGTATAATCTATTATAATTTTAATTATTTCTTATAGCTCTATTTTATATTAATACTTTGTAGTTATGTACTGCATTAGGTTAGACTGCCTTTTAATATAGAATCATTTGAAGAAACTTTATCTTTTCTTCCTAAAGTAGTTATATCTCCTCCTTCTTCTAAATTATCAGTTCAAGATAAACATAAGTATTATTTATTAAGTTTTTTTTTATTATTTTTTATAAGGTATAATATTAAATTAATTCTACAATAATTAGGAATGACCATTGATTTATGTATATTAATGCAAGTTGCTCAGAAAAATTTTATTAAACTGAATTTACTAATAAAGATTTTATATAGTTTAAAAGCATTATTTAATGAACAAAAAGATAAAATATCTAAGATTTTAACAAAATTAGAAAGCCCGATATATTATTTAGCTTCATAAAAATTAAAAAATCTAAAGTAAAAATATTTTATAAAAAGATGAATAACAAATACTATCAGGTATTTTTATAATTATATATAATGTTGTTACTATATTATGTAATATGCATAATTAATTTTATTTTAATTGTAGAATGCAATCAAGAGACTTTTATACAAATTATTTCATGAATACAAACAAACTAACAAGAATAAACTTAAGGAACAACTTAGAACAAAGCTAGAAAATGACAAATTTAGCAATGAGCAAATATAAAAGTTGAAGGATAAAGAAATTTTGTTTACCCAATTTTGGCATAAAAAATTATATTCTGTCATTAGTATTTTTACACACTTGTAAATTTTATTTGATAATGCTTATATATTGCTACTAACCCCTATATATTATTAATATAGATACTTGATACTAATCAATTAAAAAGAGGCTATTATGTTAGATATATCAAAAAAGCTCTCTGGAGTACTTTTTGATTTAATCAGCTTAAACCATTTGAAGACAGTTACACTAAGGAACAAATGAAACAATAGAAACAATATCCCAATACAAAAAAGTTTATTAAGAACTATATACTCTAAGTGATCCTGAAAATACATCCTCTAATACTTACCTCGCACTAATAATTAAATATATGTTTTTTTTTGAAGAAGAACACACATATAAGAATGCTGTTTGAACTCAGGTAGTATTTGAAGTAATGTTTGATAAATCTCATCTTTCATCAAAAATTGATACAAAGTATATTGATAGATAGATTAGGTATATTGTAGAAAATGATAAAAGTGTAAATATATATTATTTACTTATTTATTTACCATATCCTGCCGTGAATAAGCACCCACCTTTTGCAATTTTCATATCTAAGTTTCTCATAATCTAGTGATTTGATCTGTATAATTTTGATACTATTCGAATTGTTTTGATAAGCTAATTCAAATGGTACCAAAATCATACAGATCCGATCACTAGATTATGAGAAACTTGGATATGAAAATTGCAAAAAGTGGGTGCTTATTCACAGCAGGATACAGTATTTATTTTCTTTAATGTAATGTACTACTTTATAATTGTTTTTTTTTTTAGAGTGCACAAAACAAACTTCTGATAATTTATTATCTTTGTCTAATATTAATAATAACAGTTCAGATAATAATCTTTATGTGGATTAGGTAACTTATTTTATCTTAATATTATTAACATATATTAATCTTAGTATGTGATCTAATTATAAATTAAAAATAGCACTGTACAGCTTTGTTGAGGGTTGAATGGGTATATCCAAACTTGTAAATCTTGTAATCTTTTAATTTGGGTAATGATTCTGAATTTTTTATAACTAAATTGTCTTAATTGCTAAATTCAGAAATAGTAATTGCTGCTACATAAAGAAGCTGTCTATACAAGTGCATTTAAAGGTTATTTGTGTTTATATTGACATATTAAAATATATTTTTTTCAATAGTTTAATGTATTTGCTAATCATTTTTTTGCTTTATGTAAAATGCATTAAATAATAGTTATGTATTTAATTAGTATAAAATTTAAGTTGTACAATGTAATATAAATTAGCATTAGTTAATAAATATATGTTGTTAAATATATGGGGTCTTTGCCTTGAAAATCGAGTTACAGAACATAGTAAATCATATGTCCCATACTTGATTTTCAAGGCAAA